GAAGAACGGTCCAGACCCGAAACGTCAGCTTTCCTGCTCCTCTGATGCTGCTTGGCCTGCTGTGTTCATCCATCTCTACACCTTGTTATCTCAGATTCTCCAGCATTGGCAGTTTCCATTATCTCAGATTCACTAGGATGTTGCCCGGGCTGGAGCGATTCAGCTATGAAGATTATATAGGCTGGGCTTGTTTTCATTAGAGGAGAGAATATTGAGAAAGGATATAATTGAGATGTCCAAAGTTATAATGGGCACAGATAGGGTAGATAGGTAGAAAAGTTTCCCCTTAGTAGAGGGGTCAATTTTAACTTAAGGAGCAGGAGGCTTACAGGAGATTTGAGAATTTTTTCCCCCAGATGCTGGTGGCTACCTGGAACTCACTGTGGTGGGAAACATCAAGATAATTAACAAGTATTTAGATGAGCACATGAAATGTCAGAGCATAGAAAAGGCCAAGTGCTGGAAAATGGGATTAGAATAGTTGGATGCTTGGTGACTGGTGTAGACATGATGGGACAAGGGGCCTTTATTTATGCTGTAAAAACTTAATGGTCTTATATATGAAAATATTCCGTGATATAAGCAGTTTGGTGCATTAGAGATGAAAATAGATAGCAAATATCAGCCTCTACTGATGGTATTGCAGATAGTTTAATGCTGCCATAGTTTTAGCTATGTTCAATATTTTGTACAGGTAGTTAAGAAAGGATATGATATAATCAATTGTGCGTGTGTCTGCACTGCTCGTAGTTAATTGTTGAAGTGTCAGCCCTTGCTCAGAATCACAAGGACAAAGCATTAGACTCTTCTGTTTACAAATATAGCAACTCTTGCCTCCGAGTCAGTGGGTGTTTTGATTTACTGTTGTCAGTACCTAAGTACATGAAAAGTTTTGTTTTGCAGGCAGTACAGGCAGATCATAACATACAGATCATAGGGTGATTAAACAGTGCGAGGCATATGAAGTTACGGCAGCACAAGAGGTATACAAAAGCAAGATCAACATTAGATTTGAAATTTGAGAGGTCCATTCAGGAGTCTAATAACAGCATGGAAGAAGCTATTCTGGAACCTCTTGGTACGTATGTTTAAACTTTTGAGAACTGAAAAGGTGCTGCACTGTCAGGGATACTGAGCCATCGCTCAGATGCCTCAAACCCAGGTTCCGTGTGCCCCCTCAGGTGACTATATGTGATTTCGCAGCATTGATTTGAAGAAGAGAGGGGAGTTCTTGCCAGTGTCATAGCTGCCAACTACTCCGAAACTGAGATCACTCAGATTATCAGCTCATTATCAAATGGCTCTTTGTGGGATCTTGCTGTGCATAATTAGCTGCCTTATTTCATACATTGCAATGGTGACAACATTTGGAAAGTACTAAAGTGCTTGGATGTCCTGAAGTTGTGAAAGGCGCTATACAAACACAATCAAAAATTGCTGGAGAAAGTCAGCAGGGCTGGCAACACCTGTGGAAAGAAAAACAGAGTTAGCATTTTTGGAACAATAGAAATGTAAATGCTTTCTATTTTATTATTTTTGCTGTGTGGGATGCAATGATCATATCGTATCAATGTGTATTATATCTTCAACTCTCCGTCCGTTGATGGAGAACATCTGACTAGAACGTAGTGAATAATTCTCTGGAGCTTTGCTGTAATGTTTCGCTCTTTGGCTCATGCTTATGATTGGACCTCATGTCTTCTCTGCAGATGGTTGGCCGTTTGTTTCTTTGTTTGTGGTTCTTATCCTTAATGGCGACGGTGAAGATGGCATTTGAGGAGAAATGTAAGTAATAGCCGTGTGTTTTTTCTTTCGGTTGCTATTGGTTTTGATTACTGTAACATATGTGAGTAATAAAGGAGTTCCTCCACAGCCCAAGACCTAGGCCACTTGCAGGTACAATAATATCCATGTGTTTTGATAAATGGTGCTTGTTACTATCAGCAGACACTGCCTTTTTCCCAAATACACACCGCAAAAAGTTGACCTTTGTGGTACTGCTGCAGGCAGCTCACGAGAAATTATTCTTTCTGTGTGGTGCATGTTGGCTCATGGCTGTCATTGATTGCACCAAACCACTTTACCCTTAGCCTGCTGGAAATGAACCCACAGCACCATCCTTTAAAATGAAATGAAAGGTAGGGTTTAATGAACAAAGCATTCCAAATGTGACAAAGTTGCTTCTCTGCTTCACTTTCACATACAGGCAGATAACCTAAGAGCTAGTGTGAATTTTAAACTTCAGGGCTTTCTCATATATATTATATAAATATATAATATATCTGCTTTTGTTTTTCAGACACTATTGTAAACAGGGGAAATTATAACCTGAGCTGTGATGCCTCCCCTGACCAACTGCGGGCTGGAATTCACTGGCGGCTTAATGGTGTGCCACTCACTAAAAATGCCCACTCAAACGAGCTCAGCGTGGAAGTGACAGACAGGCCTGATGCGGGCAACTATAGCTGTCATGCGAATGACACAGCAGAGTTATTAAAACACTACTACATACTCATCAACGTGGGAAGAGAGGCTGATAAAATACTCGCAGGTAAGCATACACAACCTTTATGAAAGGGACCATGAAGCTGGGAGCAGTCAGTTATATTAGCGAATGCACAGCTCATTCTGGCCAGACCACGCTAATTGCTTTTGGTAAGAGATTCACACACTGGTGCCTCAAATGGCGTTGACATTTGCCAGTGAAAAGTTGGCAAGATCACAATACTTGAGTGAGAGTTTAGCTGAGAGAGGTTTGCCAGTTGCTTACAAATTGCCTGGCATTTTTTGCCCATATCTAATTCCCCTTGAGAAGGTGGTGGTGAGCTGCCTTTTTGAACCGCTGCAGTCTATTTGATATGGAACACCTGTAATTGCTTTTAGGAAGGAAGCTCCAGGGTTTTGACCCCATGACACTGAAACTAATGTGTTATTTTTCCAAGTCAAGATGATACATGGCTTAGTGGAGAATTCACTGGTGGTGGTGTTCCCATGTGTCTGCTGCCCTTGTCCTTCTAGATAGAAGTGGTCATGAGTTTGAAAGGTGCTATCTTAAGACCACCTAAATTTCTGCAGTGCATCTTGCAGCTAGTACGCACTGCTACTACTGAGCATCAGTGCTTGTGGATGTGGTGCCAATCAAGCGGGCTGCTTCATCCTGGATGGTGGTCAAGCTTCTTGAGTGTTGTTGGAACTGCACTCTTCCAGGCAAGTGGGGAGTATTCCATAACACTCCTCACTTGTGCCTTTTAGATCGCAGATAGGCTGAGCCAGAAGGTGAGTTACTCACCACAGTATTCATAGCCTCTGACCTGTTCTTGTAGCCGTAGTATGTATATGGCTAGTCCAGTTGAGTTTCTAGTCAATGGTAACCCCAACTGATATTAGGGCATTCGATAATGGTAACGGCACTGAATAACAAGGGATAATACTTTGATTTTCTCTTGTTGGAGATAGTTATTTCCTGGCTCTTATCAGCCCAAACCTTTATATTATCTAAGTCTTGCTGCATTTAGAGATGACTGTTTCAGTACATGAGGAGTCACAAATGGTGCTGAACATTGTACAATCATTGGTGAACATCCCCACATCTGACATTATAATGGAGTAGCTGAAGGTGGTTGGGCCCAGGGCACTACCCTGAGAAACTCCTGCAGAGATGTCCTGGAGCTGAGATGACTGACCTTCAACAACTGCGACCATCCTCCTTTTCACTAGATATGACTCGAAACAGCAGAGATTTTACCCCACCTACACTCACCTTTAGTGGCCCCATCCCCGCCTCTTCGACCTGTTTGTTTCCTCTCCACCTATCCTCTCCTCTATCCATCTTCTATCCGCCTCCCACTCTCTCCCTATTTATTTCAGAACCCCCTTCCCCTCCCCCTTTTCTGATGAAGGGTCTAGGCCCGAAACGTCAGCCTTTCTGCTCCTATGATGCTGCTTGGCCTGCTGTGTTCATCCAGCTCTTCACCTTGTTGTCAGAGATTTTACCCCGATGCCCATTGATTTCTGTTTTGCGAGGGCTCCTTGATGCCACACTCGGTCGAATGCATCCTGGATGTTAAGGGTTGTCACTCTCACCTCACCTCTCGAATTCAGCTGTTTTGTCCATGTTTGAACCAATGAGATCAGGAGCTGAGTGGCCCTGTCAGAACCCAAACTGGGCGTCACTGAGCAGGTTATTGCTGAGCAAGTGCTGATTGATAGTACTGTTGGTGACACCTTCCATCACAGATGATCGAGAATAGACTGATGGGCTGGTAATTGGCCAGGTTGGATTTGTCCTGCTTTTTGTGTACAGGACATAACTGAGCAATTTTCCACATTGTCAGATTGATGCCAATGTTGTAACTGTATTGAAATAACTTGGCTAGAGGCACGGCAATTTCTGGAACGTAAGTGTTCATTACCATTGCCAGAATTTTGCCAGGGCCCAAAGCCTTTGTAAGATTTTCACTGATGTCACTCTAGTACATAAACTTACATGAAGTATATCTCGAATATGCCTTAAATACATAGGAGTTGCCAAATGTTAAAGGAACACAATCTACCTAAGTTTACCTGTTACTAATCCGATAGTCAAATGATACAATGATAATGGGTGACTAATAAGAGTAATTGCTGCCTATCAAAATCCATTTCTTATTTCTGTGCCTACTAACAGAAACGAATGGAAATTACATCACATGTCACGCAGAGCAGTTTGGTGGGAATTTCACCTGCTTCTGGAGAATGAGAGAAAAAGCCATTTTCTCAGCAAGCTTCTACCGTGAGTAAGTAAGCCCATTTCAATCAATCACCTATCCAGTAATGCAGAGTACAGTGTTTTCTCAGGAAGCAATCCTGTTCTTTGCGATGTCCGTAAGCAGAAGCAATATCTGTGCAGGTGCCATTCCCCACTTTGAACAGCAAATCCCTTCAAAGTCTCAGTTGGTAGGAGAGCAAGGCCATTGGTATTACACTCACATGGCAATGTGCTTGTTGCAATGGTCACCCTGTGAGGTCTTTGAGTGAACAGCCAGAATAAAGGGGTATTGTGGTGAAGTGAATCATCAGTGGCTGTGTTAATTCATCAAACATGAGGGGTGGCAGAGAGAGAGATATGCAATGGAAGAAGGTATTTGGGTGATTATGCTGAAGAGATGGAGTTTTGTCATAATCATTTCTTTGGATGTCAGCCCCAAATAGTCATGTGACCTTCATATTCCTATATATACCTTTTGTGTACTTTTCTGTACATACTTTTGCACACCATTGTTAAAGTTGACCCAAGCAGTTGCCAATCTCATTCAAGTGCAGCCATTTTAAATAAGCACCAATTGGCATAAAATACTGCCAACAGTTACGGTAACGCCAAATCCACAATGAAATGTACTCTTTTAATCTGTACGAAAGTCGAAGTTTCAGCCCATAAATCCATCACACATCTAAATCGGCCTCAGTATATACTTTTTTCCCCTGATCAACCTGTTCAGAAATGTTATTACACACCTCTGGAGCAGATAGGACTTGAACCTGGCCTCCCAGTCTAGGGGCAGGGACACTACCACTGTGTCGCATGATGGCCCTGGTCAACCATAGTTTCAATCAGGCAATCTTTGTAATTTTTATTACAGCTATCACTGCATTTAAAGAAAGAGAAAATATGAGCAGGTCTCAATGGGGAAAGTTTAATCACTCAAAAAGTTTACACCGAAAACGCCAGAGGCTGGTTCTATTTTGGCCACACCTGTTTGCAATATTGAGGTTTCTGTTTGAGATCATGTAACTGGAGGCCACTCATATTTAGACCACATGGTCCGTTTGTGACCAGGTTCCAGGTCTTTCTGAGCATAAACGTAGAGGAAGTTCAAGGCTGGGAATTGTCATTCTGTGAGTCTGTGCTAGAGTTTGAATCCAGTTCTTGAGAAGTTACAGACTTCTGTACAGTGCATTGGCATGCATTTTAATGAGGTTGGAGAACATTGTCCAATAATGGAGGCAGTTATGTCTTCAGAGACAATGCAGAAGACTGATTCCTCCCTTGTCTTCTCTTAATTGGGATCACTTCAAGGAGAAACCAATCATTATGAAGATCACCAAAGCAATACTCAATCAATGCGACACAAGTTAAGAATAAGAGGTCTCCCCCGAAGATAAAGATGAGGAGAATTTAGTTCTCCTCAGAGAGGTGCTAGTATGTGGAATTTATTTCTTCAAAGTAGTGAAGGTGGTGTCACTCAATTTATTCACAACAGAGTTGGATAGGTTTTTGACAGCCAAGGGAGTGAAGATTAATGTGGGGCAGAAAAGAAAGTGGGGTTGAGACTACATTTATATCAACTTATTGAATGCAAAGCAGGTTTGAAGGACTTAACAGCCTGATCTTGCTCCTAAATCCTTCATTCCTAACTCTAAGGCAAATAGTTTTCAATCTTTTAATCCCTGATCTTGCTGCTTCCATTGTGTGTGAATGCTACTCTCACCAAGATGAAGGATGTTTGTGCAGAGGGATGGTCAGTGTCACACTCCTGTCACCACTTTCACAATTACTCTCACTCTAATGGGTCACCAGTTCTTTTGGAAAACCCACTCTCCTTACCTGGTCGACACATGACTCCAGTTTAACATCAACATGTTCGATGCTGAATTGTCAATTAGATGTGGCATGGCAACCCATTCTGTTGTATCAGAACTGCAAACTCACAAGATGAAGATTCACCAATATTCTCAGATGCTGTCCTTGCCCATGTTCTGGGAATTAATCACAGTAAAGAAACCATGGCTTGATGTAGCCTCAAAAGTACACCTCGGCTCAGCTGTATTTGTGATCCCACCCTGCTGCACTGGCGCAACATTTCCCATTTGCCACCCCAATCATGCATTAGCTGAGATGGGTACCACGCATTGTTTATTGTCTGGCCTGTATACTGCACGGTGAACCAGATTTCATTCTTTTTTTCCTGTGTGACAGAGGTTGGAATGGAGACTCCAAGGACTGTGTCCTGACTCAGTGCAAGACGTCAGATTGCACTGTCCAAGCAAGCTGTACTGACGAGACCTTCTCCCCATACGCTGAAGAGCTGAGGCAAATCGCCCTCACAGTGGAGGCAGCTACAACCAAACGATATGAGAAGCACACAAAACACTTCTACATCCGAGATATTTGTAAGTATAGGCAATGAAAAGACTTATCGCTTGTAAAAGTAACTAATTTATGGTCATTGAAGCCAACGATACTGTCATTCCTGGATCCTTTTATAAGACCGGGCTATAAAAGTAATCCATCCTCAAATTTTTACCTGGAAATCTTGTGTGAATGACCCAGTGTTTTCTAACTTGCTGGATGAGACAAGTCATCCATCAGCCTAATGCTGCCCCACACAAATCCAGGCTTTAAACATGAAACTACTCATCCCTATGCTCACATCAATGGCGACACCCCTCCCTACCTCTGTAACCTCTGCAGCCCAGGAACTCTCTGAGACTTTTGCTTTCTCTGACTTGAGAGGGCATAGGTTTAAGGTCAGAGGTGAGAGATTTAGGAGGGACCTGAGGAGCAACATTTTCACATAGAGGGTAGTGCAGGCATGGAACGAGCTGCCGGGGAAGTGGTAAAGGTGGGTACAGTTACAGCATTTAAAAGATATATGGACAGGTTCATGAATAGGAAAGGTTTGGAAGGATATGGGCCAAATGCAGGCAAATGGGACTAGTTCAGTTTGGAATAACTGGTCAGCATGGGCGAGCTGGACCATAGGGTCTGTTACCGTGCTGCACCTCTCTATGACTCTAGCCATTCCCTTCACTGCAACAGTAAAGCATAAAGACTTTCCATTCATGATGGATGTCGGAACGGGGGTGGGACAGGGAGAGCGGGGGAGGCCATGATGGTCTCCTTTGCAAAGTGCAGATAGCACTCAATGGCATTGTAATAGAAAATCTCCCCATACTTCCCATACCCTGACCAAAGACACTGCCTAGTCTAGTCTGAAAAAAGTGAGAATAGTCACCTGCTTGAGATGTCTAGGAAACCAAAACCTGGCAAGAATTAACCCTTCCTGGACAGGAGGAAGGTTGGAGTATGTGGTTAAAAAAAAATCCGATGGTAACAATTGACTTGGAATGAGATGAAACCCTGGTCCAATTGATTCATTTTACTTTGGGTACCAGGAAAGTTAGGCACCTGACATTTGGGTCAAGGAAGGGGAGGCATCTCTAAACCATGCTTATGGCCCCTCATGCTTTCCTTTCAGTAAAACCCGCTGCTCCGAAGAAACTCACGACCTTCAGGAAGAACCACAAGTTGAAAATCGACTGGCAATACCCAGATTCCTGGAACAGTCCTCACTCCTACTTCCCACTAATGTCCCAGGTTAGCGTCGAACTGACCTCCAGGAAGTGCAAACATAAGAAACACATCAGGACCAAGGATTCACCGGTTGAGGTACATTTCAGGATGAAAGTTCTTAGCAGAGAAATCAAGAGGTGTAATAATGTTGACATATCACCTAAAATAGGAAATCACTTGCATTTCTGTGGAGCTTCAGGATACTGTACACTAAAGTGCCGCTGTGCTACTGAAGTGGTTTCTTTTGTAGCACTGTTGCTGTTTTTAGCATTAGACAGTTTGCACACAATACGGTGGCATGGTGGCTCAGTGGTTAGCACTGCTACGTCACAGCACCAGGGACCTGGGTTCGATTCCAGCCTCGGGCGACTTCCCGTGTCTGTGCAGGCTCCCTCTGGGTGCTGTAGTTTCCTCCCCCAATCCAAAGATGTGCAGGTTTGGCCAATTCTCCATGCTAAATTGCCCATAGTGTCACAGGGATTTGCAGGCTAGGTGGGTTAGCCATGGGAATTGCAGGGTTACAGGGATGGGCTAGGGGGTTGGGTCTGATTGGGATGTTCTTCAGAGGGTCAGTGTGGACCCAATGGTCCAAATGGACAGCTTCCACACTGTAGGGCTTCTATGACAAGCTGCTACAAAAGATACAAATGCTACAATGATTTCGTAATCATATCACCTGTTTATAGTGATAGCAGTCGAGGGAGGGAAAAATTGGGGAGAGCTCCTCTGTGAAATGGTGCCATAAATCTTTTGTCATCTACCTGGAATGGGGCTTTGATTGAACACCTCACCTGAAAGATGGCATCTGATGCAGTGCTGCCCTCACTGCATTGCCCCAGGTGAAGACATAGTGCCCACACTCAACATGAATGAATACCACGCAGTTACATTTTTGAGGGCTGCCCTCTTTCTCTTTATATTCAATGTTTGTACAGCATCTGCCTGAAGGCATATTGTGGAGAGGGACGATTCAATAGGCCGAGTGGTCTGTCTCATGCTACATTTCCCAAAGTTCCATTTTGACCTTCTGTACATCTGCCCCATGCTTGAGTGTTGGCCATTGTGCTATTATGATAAAGAAAACCCAAGCAATGATATAAAGGAATACCTCTCTCAGTGCCTTGGGTGAAAATTTAAACCTGAATTATCAGCTTAAAAATAAATGACCTGGCCATGTTGTTGTGTGATCTTACTGCATGTAAACTTACGTTCCTTACGTATAATAGTAGCTACAACTGAAAGGTGGTTAATTCAGTGGGAAGCAATTTGGGCTTCCTGAGACCCAAGCTATCATATAATTGCAAATTCTTTCTTTGCTTTCTATGAAACTGCAGTAATTTTGATAGGTATTTGTATAAAATGATATAATACATAATAGAAACAGTAGATGGCAACAGACACACATTAAACACACACAAACACACATTAAACACACACAAACACACATATGCGGTTGACATGACCAAGGAGTGAAATGGCTAGACACAGTACAATGCCTCACAAATGAGAAGCTCCTGAATTTTTCTACCACGGGCTTACCCCTCACCCAAAACAAGAGAGGGACAGGACTGAAGGAGGAATTTTCATTTTGAGTTCCTAGCCATTTTCTGCCACTGGTGCTAACTTAATAACTGCACCTCAAGACACCTGCAAAGTAATGTTAGGAAGCGAGGGTTCTTAAATTGTTAACAGAATACAATAGGGTGGAAGCAGTGAAACTGTGTTCTCTGGTGAGGGAGTCTACTAAGAGGAAAGGACATCTTACAATTAGAACTAGGCCCTTCGGGAATGAACGAAGAAACAGTTTTTCACACAAAAGCGGAATGAGAACTTTTGAATTGAATTGTCTCCCAGAAAGACCAGAACCAGGGGTTACAGTTTAAGGATACAGGGTAGTCCATTTAGGACTGAGATGAGGAGGAATGTCTTCACCCATAGAGTGGTGAGTCTGTATAATTCTCTACCACAGAAAGCGGTTGAGGCCAAAACGTTAAATGTTTTCGAGAAGGAGTTAGATATAGTTATTAGGGCTAAAGGGATCAAAGTATGTGGAGGGAATGTGAGAACAGGGCACTGAGTTGAGTGATCAACCATGATCAGATTGAATGGTGGAGCAGATTCAAAGGGCCAAACAGCCTGCTCCTGTTCCTATTTTTCTCATAAGCTGTCGAAACTAAGGGTTCAAAATTCATATATACACAGTAAGTTATTCTGATCTGGGAAGCGCTGGCTGTATGGGTGATGGTGGTGGTAGATTTGAAAGAGCAGAGGATGGAAGTAATTGAACAGCTCTTTCAAAGACCCAGCAGGGCCATGGTGGTCCAAATAGCAGGATAACTCTGTGGAGCTGACCCGGAGTGGGTCACAGTGTCTGAGTGCCCAGAATATGTCCCTTTCTCAGTAGTAACACCTTGATCAAATCCATCACAGGAAGTTGGAAAGAGTTGTTTTTTTTTGTTGCCAGTTGATGAGTCAAGGGAAAAAGAGAAGGCAAAACCTGTTTTTAATATAGGAACATTTGTAGGTTAAAGGTTAGGCTTGATTGTCAGGTTAGGCCTTCACTTGGCCTACAGTGACTCACCAGTAACAATAATAGAGTCAATCTGTGAAATGGTATTCAACTGATGATTACTTCGTTTTCTTCTTCTTGTAGTTGCTGATCCCGTGCAGAAATGTCCCCCATCAGCTGAAACGTCACCAGAACATCAGCTGCTTCACTGAGAGTTCGAGCGTGGAGTTGCCAATCAACAAGAAGAAGTCTCTCAAGGTCCATAGGATATGTGTCCGTGTGAAGGAGCTGTTCTTCAACTCCACTTGGAGCGATCCCACTTGCAGCGATTGCCGAACGTAAGTGATCGGCAGCGGAGGAGATCGCCTTTTAAAGGTGATCTTCATGGTTGTTAGTTAATGAACATTTGTGACCGCCCGCCCCCAAATGCTGCCCATTTCTGACAGTCCAGCAGCCACCCTTCACTTGCCACCATTGTGTGGATGGTGAGGAACCATTTTCTCTGGCTGGAGAGGGAGTGGCGTGGAGGGTGGAGTCAAGCCCAGAAGAGGGCTTTATAACCTTTACGTTGACCGTGGGCTATTCAGGGCTAAAGTCTGAAAGCAACTTAACACAGAACAGGGAAAAGAAATCTTGAGCTCCGTCCTCCAAAGACCTACTGAGACTCAAGATCAATCAAACACTCCAGGAAGGATAGGTTTCTGTTTAGATAAGGATATTACGTGTTGCAGAGGCCAGATATGTCAATAACATTCAGAAACGGATCTAACTGAATGGCACAGGAGGCTCAAGGGGCTGAATGGCCTCCTCTTATTCCTCTTGTTATATAGGTAGCTTCCTCAGAAACCACCTTCTAATTGTTTTTCTGGGGTAGAGGCAGAATCCCTGTGCCTTACGGTTCCAATCCTGTATTTGAAATGCTCACTGGTGAGACAGGTTACCCTGAATTACAATGTGCACTTCCCCAACACTAAACGTCCCCAGTTTGATGTGTGCATACCTCAGTCAAACCTCTTCAACTGCGAACATCCTAACAAGTTGCTAATGATCTGTTCACAGAAAACTTCAATCAGGAAGCTATTGAGGCCATTGGAAGTCTGGGTGCATTCCTGTTTGATGTGCTGCATGTCACAGTGAGACCCAACACTACCCTCAAGCCGAGACCTCATATAAGCTAGAGATCCTCAGGAGCTGCCTTGAAGAAATGGATTATAATAGAGTCTATATTCTTTATTTAATTATTGTTTTGTTATTATTACTTCCTAATTTATTCAGTGCTAATTTGTTTTGTAATGACATTTATTTATTTAAAATAGTTTCTCCTGTTACACTGTACTGAGTGGAGTGGAGTTGGTACCAGCGTATCTGGCTGGTGGGAGGGAGAGAAATTGACTGGGATTCCTAACTCAAATCATTATCCACACCCCCTTTCTGGACACAGCTGCTAGCAGGTGCAGGCTCAACTAGCCTTGTCCATTATGCTGTCTGTGACATTCCTGTCATAGATTGATATTGCAGAAGATGTTAATTCACCAAGTGCCATCAACCTTAACCATTGAGCTTTTTTTGATTGAGTATGCCAAAGGATCTTGAGAGAGTTAAAATTTGGCCCAAAGAGAGAGGTAGATTTCCATCCTATTTTAAACCATAAGAAGACCAAAGCTCATCACTTTGAAAGGACAGTCACTAATCCATTAGATTCCAATCAGGGACACTGAGTAATTGTAATTAAATTATTTTTCAGCTATTTTATTGAGATCATTTTTCAGCATCAATTTGATCATTGAGCAACCTGCCATTTTTAAATGCCCTGCAATTCTGTTGCTATTGCATATCAGGATGGCAATCGAGTGGTTTGAAGAATTATCCTGAGGCTTGGATTAATAATGCAGAGCTAAGCTGCCACTATGATAGTTTGAGAATTTGATTTTGGTCAAATATGTGTGGTCAATCTGACTTTGCAGTCGGTTTTAACTTCCGTCTGTAATGGTTTAGCAAACGATTCCAGTCAATATATTGTCATTCCTTCATTGTCGCTGGGTCAAAATCCTGGAATTCCTTCCCAGACGGCATTGTGGGTCAACTCACAGCAGGTAGTCTACAGCAGTTCAAGAAGGCAGCTCACCACCACCTTCTCAAGGGCATCTAGGGATGGGCAATAAATGCTGGCCAGCCAGCGACACCTACATCCCTCAAATGACTAAATAAAAATGATTCAAAGTATTCAGTAAATACTGATTAATGACCTTGTGCGAATGTCCCATTTTCAGTGATATTTATTTACTTCTGAGGAACCACTTGTTTGCATCAGTACTTGCATTTTTTGTTTTAACAAAAGTATCAATGTATTGGAGACCTCAGTTCTAATTTATTCTATTTAAGTTAATATTTTGATTAATTTGCCAATAAAATACTTTGTAGAAGGCAACTTGTTTCATGTTTCTTTTCAGCCGAACGTGTAAGGACGCGTGCCTTATGCACCAACAAAAGTAGCATTTCAGTAGTGTCTTTAAGATCCTATATTGTGACATGGGGAATGTGACAACCAAGTGATTGCACAACAAGACCCCACAAATAAACATTATGATAATTGCCTAATAACCTGGTCAGAATATTAAAAGGGTCTGAATGATGTGGACCATGACAAGAAATATGGCAGAATTATGTAAGAAGGCTGACAAAGCCTCTCATGATGTCTGGAGTAACTTGATGCAGCCATTATGCGTGTGTCCAGTGTTAAGACAAGCTTCTCACTAGGAAGCTGTGCATTGTCTATTAAGGAGCATTATTGATTGTTAAGGGCCTTTTAGTGACTGCACACACCACTTCTTTAATGTTTAGCTTCCTGTCTGACCAAAGCCAACAAGCAACCATTGGACACCCAGGATTCTTGACACGGAGATCAGAACCTTTCGTAACCACTGGACTCCCATTGTATGTTTAGGAGAGGAGATGGCCCCTTTTATTGGTGTTGGACTAATAATCCAGAAAGCAAGGAAATTTTCTGCAGACCGGCACAGCAGGTGGTGGAATTGGAATCCAATAAAATCTGGAATTATAAGTCAGTGAAACCATTGCCAACAGATCCGTCAGGTTCACTAATACTTTTTTGGGAAAGAAATTTGCCAACATAAGTTTTCTGATCTACAGGTAACTGAGCAACAATGTAGTTGAATCTTCGCTGTCCCTCTGAAATAGGCTAACAAGCCGTTTGGTTAAATGAAAGCCCTTCTCGCCAACAGCTGAGGACTAGTGCAAAAAACTGGGAAAAATATCTTGCAGCCTAGTCAAGCAACAGTCTGACATCATCGCACTCATAGTATCATACCTTATGCACAATGTTCCAGACAGCAGGCCCAGCAAAAGTGGAGACAATGGCATATAGTCAGGAGGGAACTGCCCTGTGTCTCCTTCGCATTGACTCCAGATCCCATGAAGTCTCATGGCATCAGATCAAACATGAGCAAGGAAACCTTTTGCTGATTACCACTTATCTCCTCCCTTGACTGAGGAATTATAGAATAGCAATTTATTATCACTTGTATTTATGAAAATACGGTGAGATGTGTATAATGCGCCACAATTCGGCACCATTTTAATTATAGAAATTCCAAAGAAATACACAATTAAGACAAAGTTCATCTTTTGGCCCCTTCACGGCAATCTGGGTTTATGGAGTTGCTCTGGAACACTGCTTCTGAAGCCTGAGGATGCTAACGCAAGGATTTCCAGACTGGACCCAGCATTCTGCCAACGCCAATGCTGACATTGAAGCCACTGTAGCACTACCATCGCAAGGAGGGACAGACCAGACCCACAAAGCCACTGACACTCAGATGAATCAGTACTCCTCCAGGTTGAATATCACTTGGAGAAAACACTGAGGGTGGCAAGGCGACAAAATGTACTCTGATGGATTTAAGGAGAATTGGGGTTAAACTAGTGAACATAGAACATAAACAGTACAGCACAGTACAGGCCCTTCAGCCCACGATGTTGTGCCGACCTATTATCATACTAAGATCAAACTACCCTGCATACCCTACATTTTACTAGCATCCATGCACCTATCCAAGAGTCGCTTAAAAGTCTCTAAAGTATCTGACTCCACTACCACCACCGGCATTCCACACACCCACCACTCTCTGTGTAAAGAACCTACCTCTGACATTTCCCCTATACCCTCCTCCAATCACCTTAAAATTATGCCCCCTCATAATAGTCATTTCCGCCCTGGGAAAAAGTCTCTGGCTATCCACTCTGTCTGTGCCTCTCATCATCTTGTACACCTCTATCAAGTCACCTCTCATCCTTCTTCGCACCAATGAAAAAAGTCCTAGCTCCCTCAGCCTTTCCTCATTAGACCTGCCCACCAGTCCAGACAGCATCCTGGTAAACCTTCTCTGCACCGTCTCTAAAGCTTCCGCATCCTTCCTATAATGAGGCGACCAGAACTGAACATATTCCAAGTGTGGTCTAACCAGGGTTTTATAACCCCACAGCACTTAAACTCAAATCCCCTGCCAATGAAAGCCAACACACCATATGCCTTCTTTACAACCCTATCAACTTGGATGGCAACTTTGAGGGATCTATGGATGTGGACCCCACGATCCCTCTGTTCCTCCACACTGCCAAGAATCCTGCCATTAACCCTGTATTCTGCATTCAAAGCTCCTGTTGCCTCTGGTAATGCCCAGTATCCCTTAGGTTTTTCACCAGGAGTTGGCTGAAACAACTCCAGAGTCCAGTATCCCATCACCAAGTCACCCTTTATTTACACGTGGGGTGTACTTGACAGTGATCCAGTTCCTTCAGTGCCAGTTCTTACAGTAAACAGCCCCAATCAGGGAACTGGTGGGAGTCATACTTAGCACAACGATTATGGTTGTTGGAGGTCAGTCATCTCAGCTCCAGGACACCTCTGCAGGAGTTCCCCAATGTGGCGTCCTAGGCCCGACCATTTTCATTTGTTTGAATCTTTCACTTTTCCTCCATAATGAGGTCAGAGGTGGGATTGCAGTTGACAAGTGCACAATATTCAGCATGATTCATGACTCCTCAGATACTGAAGCATTTCGTGTATGAATGCAGCAAGACCTGGACAATATCCAGATTTGGGTAGTCGAGTGACAAGCAACATTCACACCGGACAACAACTATCTCCAAAAAGAGAGAATCTAACGATCACCACTAGGGCATTCAATAACATTACTACAACTGGAACCCCCACTATCAACTTTCTCTACCACTAATCATCAGATAAACCCAAACTAATGGAAACAGGAGGATTGGTGGTAGCAAATTCTATCAAACACCCCATACTGTTAGAGATGATAAATATCATAATGTCCAGCATTGGTCATCTGGGAAATACCTCAATAGCCATAAGATGATCTGATTTCTATGATTTTGATTGGGGAATAAATATTGATTCAGACACTGGGGTGAACTCCTCTGTTCTTTGTCAACATATTGACAAGGGATCTTTTACATCTACCAGACAGAACCTTCATGTGTTTAATGTTTCATCTAAAGAACAACATGGTATATCTTGCACTGCAGGAGGACTTGTTTCACAATTTCTTAACTTAGAGGCTAAATGTCTCCAACTGAGACAAAAAAGGAATTTCCTGCTCTCTGCAGTTCATTTATTGTCAGTCGCATTGGAACATCCAAATGATACCAAGATAATATAATTGTTATGAACAAGGTTAGAGGGGTGCATTAATTCCTTTGAAGACCCCATCTCCCACTGGTCATAACAAATGTTCAAGTTAACCAGTATGGTGTTATGGCCATTAATATATACCTTTGAGTGAATCTGGTTTGAGAATAGAAACAAGACAGGTTTCATTGTCAAAAAAAGAGTTTATTTCGAACTAAAAATGCTCAAACAAATATAGAATCCTTACGGTGTGAAAGCAGGCCATTCAGCCTATTGAGTCAACACCAACCCTCTGAAGAGCATCCCATCCAAACCTAACCCCTGCCCTATCCCTGTAACCCTCCATTTCCCATGGCTAATCCTTCTAGCCTGCACATCCCTGGATAATTTAGCATGGCCAATCCACCAAACCTGTATGTTTTTAGACTATGGGAGGAAACCGGAGCACTTGGAGGAAAGCCACCCAGACACGGGGAGAATGTGCAAATTCCACA